AGGGTATGTGTGGACTAGTTTGAACATCACTTGTTCTTTTCACTCTGATGTCACTAAGCGAGGTCGTCAGTTCTTCAATTAGTAGTAGGTTCCTGTCTACTACTGTCATTGGACGCCGTAAGGTCAGGGAGGTGTTGTTTGGGGGTCAGAACTTTGAGTTTTGGTCAGCATGGTGGATATAGAACGGAGGTGTTGTCTGCTTGGAAGACAGAAATGTTCGAGGAGTTTTAAGTTATGGGCGGGGGTGTTAATTTCTGAATTCATTTAGTTGTAATGAGTTAATCTTCAATCTCTGTCAAGTCAAGTAATAATCGCTTTTGATTTGATCAACTTTTGGAAAGTGCCCATTTAAACATTATTCCGGTTCTACAGTGAACGTGATTTTGACCTTGCGAGAGTCTTCGCTTAGTTTTGATATGCACACCTAGTTTTGGAAATCCTTAGGATTTTTAGTTGCAGATTCGGGCATTCGGTCTGGAGATGGCTCGGTCAAGAAGTAATTGGTTTGGAAGATCCCTAGAGGGGATTTTGGGGGTTGTTACAAAATGTTGGTGAGGACAAATTTTGAGGATGAAATCTAATTTAAGTAGGGACGAATTATAGCACCCGTTTTCCAAAATGAGTCAGTGCAGAGAATTAAGAATCAAATGCATTGTTTTGGGAAAAACTATGAGTTATGACATGACCATAGGGAGGTCATGTAACAACCTAAATTTCAAGGCCAAAAAATTCATTTTTGAATTAACGCATTTAATAAACATTTTACCAAAACCTTGTCAATAAAACATTCCATTATAAAATCATAATGCTGTATTTCAAACCATAACATCATAAGTATTAAAAATCAGAGTACAATCTCAAAAACTTCTTGCGGAAACATGTGTGTGTGTGTGATGCGCTGCTACACCGCTGGCTCTTTCCCCTCCGACGAAGAGGTACCTGAAACCAAAACCAAAACTGTAAGCACAAATCTTAGTGAGTTCCCCCATCATACCACATACCATACAATATCGTCGGTATCTTTCAACCGGTAACCTTCATCGGTATCTTTCAACCGGTAACCATCATCGGTATCTTTCAACCGGTAATTGGGGACTCTTTCACCCCTATCGCTAGCATACAATTAACAGATATAAGAATACAGTCAGACATATTCGGGTACTGACCTACCCTTAGGTCCTAAGGACCACTGTTAGGGAAACTATTCCCTACCATACACATAACATACTATCCAGATAAATCTCATAACCAACACATAACCAGACCAAGATAATTATCACAAAGACCATTATCTTTTAAATACCCCTTTTTGGTGGGCCGATATTATGGCCTTAGACCCACCCCTACTGGAAGGTAACTTACCTCAATGTCGTGCAGTGTCTGAACTATCCTCGGTGCACAAGTCGACTCCTAACGACTCCTTGATCCCTACACGATAACCTTCAAGTCAACACATATCACATACAGCCCTAAACAGGGTTAGCCTAAGTTCAGTCAAAGTCAACATTGGTCAAAGTCAACATTCAGTTGACCTGACTCGCCGAGTTGGCCTACCAACTTGTCGAGTCCATGCTTCTCTAATCCCACCCGAAACCCCGGCTCCACTCGTCGAGTCTAGCAAAAACTCGACGGGTTCTCCTTCAATCATAACATCGGGACCATCTTCATCTGACTCGCCGAGTTCCTTCTTGAACTCGTCGAGTTCATCTCCAACTTAAGAACTTGTCCAGTCTATGACTCACCAAGTTGTATGAACAACTCGTCGAGTCTATCTTCAAAGATTGGAAGATTGCTATGGACTCATCGAGTCTGCTCATACCACTCGCCGAGTCCCATGACTCCTAGGTCCCTTTTCGCGTCTAAACCCACAAGGGACTTCCTTCCTAACACTTACCCATTCACAGAAAAGGGTTTGGGTGCACAATGGTCACCCACTCATCGAGTGCCATGAACAACTCGTCGAGTCCGGCCTTGACCAATTCCATACAGTCGATTTAAATGAGGTCTAACATAACAAAACCATAGATCTGGTCTCCTAATGCTTATTTTATACGTAAAGTTACAAACTTGATGCACATGCATGGGGGTTTTTAGCTCAAAAATCCATATAAAGTGTCCTACAATGTGCATGGGGCTCTCATGGCCCTAAAGTTGGCACCTTTATGCCATGAGACCCCTCTTAAGGCCCAGATCTGAAGGCTAGAGTCTACATAAAGTTGGCAACTCTATAGGTCCTTATGGTCCCTTAAAGTTGTATTTAATGGATCTGAGATTTGGACGAGTTTTGATGTCATTTATGTGAGTGTGGTTTCATTTCTTCTTCATTTTTAACATTTGATGAGATCAAGACATGCATTGGACATGCATGTCTATAAAGCATCGATTATTAGGATGTTTTTGGAGTAAGAAAGCCCTCTGGAAAGTTGGAATGGATGGCCTTAAGGATTAAGGGCTGAATGTATTAAGTGTCCTAATCTATAATAATAATCACCATCACCATATGGTTGTCACGACGTGACAATGAGATTTATCTCAATTATTTTGGAGTGGCTTGGTCACGATGTGAGGGCACAATCCTCACAACGTGGTGATGATTTTGGGCCGCGGCTAGGGTTTCATTATATACATAATATTTAGATGTGGAAACCCTAATATCTCTCTAAAGTTGTCTTTAACCTCTGGTTCGTCATAATATGAGATTATGCTTCAATAGTTCATATTAGAATCACCCTCGTGTTTTTGGTGTCTTATACATTTATTTATGTTGTATTACTAGCTAAGTGCGAGTCATTGGTTAGTTTCAAATGTGTATAGGTTAGTTATTTTATTTTATTTTATTTTTAAGTCACCTCAAATTCTTTATAATTAAGACTCTTCTTACTCTAGTGTTCCGAGTACACATGATTTTGTGAAATATATAGAAATTCTTCACTAATGGTCTATCGATAATTATATTTGATGAAATAAAAATAAGAAAACTCATGAATCACAATTAATCATATTAGTGTCTAGTAAAGATTATTATTATTATTATTATTTTTGAACGACAAACCATATCAAGGTGGAAGTCTGCAAGATTTAAACGGTCAACTTTAATTTTCTTGTGTTTCATACCAAATAAACAATATATCGTCCTGATGGTGGGGTCTAATGAGTAAGTATAAAGTTGAACAAAACACCTTTCTCAAAAAAATGTTGAATGTATTCTAATATTTAACCAAAATCAAAGAAACCTTGTAATTTTCTAGGGTGCAATAATTTTTGAAAAGTTGTAAAGGGATAGGGGGTTCTAATCTAGGGGGTTCAACCTTTCGGATCTTATTTGAACATTAATAGAGTTTATAATCAGGTCTAAGATGCATTTATTACATGAGTTCATTTAAAAAAAATATATAAAATTTTAAACGTTTGAGAAGTTTGATTTTAAAAGAAAAAAATAGAAAAATATTAAATTATTAACATTAAATTGTTTGTTTTTCTTTTAATTTAAGCAAATAATTTAGATAAATAAACAAATGAAACTAATAAAATTTTAATTTAAAAAATTTGAAATTAGAAGGAAATCAATTAATGAAATTGATATGTATTGATTATTATATTTAAATATTATATGGAAATTAATAAAATAAAAAAAACCACAAAATGCCATACGGAAAATATTAATTGTAAATAATCATATAACAAAATCAATAAGAATATGTAATGTGATAAAAAATTCTTTATTTATTAAAGATGATTTAACTAGAATTAAAAAAAATGAAAAAAAAAAATTAATGGGGCATCACAAGTGGATATAAAGTTTAATTAATTCCATAAGCAGTTATTATCATTTTCAGTGTCAAAAAAGACATGACATGTTATCTTTAATAACTACCTAGTATAAAAATGGTAAATAGCACACAATGGGTATCATCTTAAAATCAGATCAAACATCAAACATCAAACCTTAACACTCCATTCACACGTTAAACTAATACATCAAGTTACGATTTGTTCAACATTCACATTGCTCCGTATTTCCAGCCCACACAACCAACTAACTCAATAATCTTCATGTCAACTAAAATCATGGTTGAAGTTAGAGTTATTAACATTAATTCTAAAACCATGATATTACAACTCTAAAAAAGAAAATATTGAACTTAAAAATATGGGTTTGAGTCAAAGATGTTTAATTAATGAAACTTCGACTATCATAATAAAGAAATTTAAGATACTTTCATTATTCTACTAGTTAATCCAACATATTTCTTAAACATTTAATGAAGCCTATTATTATTATTATTATTATTATTATTATTATTATTATTATTATTATTATTATTATTATACGTAATACTTCTATAAGATTATAAAAATATATAACTGTTATATTAAACAATTCCAAAAAATAAAATTATACATATTAACAAGCTAATAGAAATATCTTAAAACGGTTAGCTAAAAGAATCTTATGTAACCATAAATCTTAGTAACACCCATAATAATATATAAATCTGATAGAATTGTTCTGAAGTTGTAATTAATGAAAAGTGATAGTCGGTCAAGTTTATATCTATTCTGCCTTGAGATTTGATTGATAATTAATGATGTTTGGCTTTTTAATCACGACACAATTAAAAGCCCCTTTCCACTAAAACCAATTTAATATCAATTAAGATCATATCTAATCTAAAGCTAATAAACAAAATCACAAATGCTCAATTTTTCATTCGCTCTCATTGTATTTGTATACAAAGAAAATATAAATAATCAAGAACAATACTCATTAGAACAAACCTCATGTTTAACTTAAAAATACACACACACCCACACACACTCACATACACTTTTTGATTACAAATAATTTATGGAAAACATTATTTGCACCCTCAAATTCATATTCAGATTTCATTATGTCATCTCATAATGAAATACAAATATAATTTCTTCAAGTGTAAATGACAATTTTCTGGACCTGAATTATTTCACTAAGAAAATGGGGAAACAATGGAGCGCTCTTACACGACTAACGAGGCAAACCAAAAACTCGAAGCCACAGCCACGGCCACGGCAGCAAATCTGAAACCCTTGATTTCCGTAGCACTGTTGCTATCTGCCTCTTGATCAGCGACGCCGTCGTCCGGAGAATCTGCCGGAGAATCCGATGGCGAGTCGGACGCTGGTGGAGACTTGTGCTTCTTCTTCTTCGAAGACTTTGGTGACTCCGCCGGAGCATCAGCTTCGGGCGCAGGAGCTGGAGCAGGGGAAAGAGCGGCTTTGAAAAGTTCTTTGGGCAAAAGTACCTTGTTGATGGTGAAAATGACAAGCGGTTGTTGATCAATCAGTGTCCCTACGATCTTCGCAGTAACGATGCTTGTCTTGATTGTTACTTCCTGCCCATCGTTCTGTACTGTGAAATCGTATTTGCTAGCACCGTCGGTTGCTAGTGTGTTCATTAGACCGTTGCTTGATTTTAACATCGACATCGATTGATAGATCGGCACACCGTGATATTCAAGTAGCGATTGCTTCCCGCCGACGGTCAAATTTTTGTATTTAGGTAAGAAGCCCTTGAAAGCATCGTCGAGGGGGCAAAACACCGACAATCCGCCATCGATGTTGTCTTCGTAAGTTTTCATTGCGTCAGAAGCAAGAAGAGCTTCAGCAAAATTCATACATCCATGCGCCGACATCAGAGAGGTAATATTGACGGCGGCAGGTTCAGGAGTCGGAGCTTCGGCCTCCGCTGACGGCAACATACTGCTGATCTGGATAACAGAGATGTTATAAGGAAGCTCATGTAACGACTTAACAAAAGTCGCATCCGTTCTACCGGTATCCTCGCTACCAAATCCAACCTTACCGCCTTTCAGATCCGTAATGTTGACGAATCCAGAGGAGCCAGAGGCGGTACCGGTAGCTTGGAACATTGTCGCTGCTAAGGCGGTTCCATTGGTAATCTGGTGAAGCTTCTTCGCACCGAAGTAGTCAAGCAGCACGTGAAGCGATAGGACGTTCTTCATAGCATACACAGATAGGTGTTTACTTAGCAGATCTGACATTCCGGCATTGTTTACCGCACAAACGGTGATGGTCTGTCGGTTGTTAATTTCATCGGCTAGGTGTGTAATGGTGAGGTAATGGTTGAAAGTCGAGAACTCGGGAAACTTTGCCAGAATGGAGGTGATGTTGTGACCTTCAACGGTTGCTCCAGGCAATAGCAACGCTATCATAGAAATCACAACTGCCGCCGTGTAACGGAGCTGCATTGTAACTTCCCTGGAGACTAGAGAGAGAGAGAGAGAGAGGGAGAGAGAGATTGTGTGTGTATTTGTGTGTAAACTATAAAAGAAGGCAGCGGACGGAAGTGAAGCAGAGAAGATATGAAGATTTTGGTTAGTTTAAAGGACCTTATATTCGTTTCAATTACAATAAAGCCACTGGAGAGTTCCCAGCTGTTACAGGTCACCAACGGTTTTCTTTCACCGTCTTTTTATTCGGGAATATTTACACTCTAGCCCCTTGTAATTTCAAATTTACTCAAAACGAGTCAAAATACAACTTATCATCATTTTGAATTTAATTTAGGCATATATATCACTCCTAAACTACATAAAAATCTGCGGAAACTAATATAAATTAGTATATCTAAAAAAAATTTTGTCTTGGTTTTCCAAAGACTAATAAGGTTCATAAAATTATTATATCCACATAAATGTCAAATAGTGAGGTTGTTAACTTTGGTAGGGTTCGTTTTGTAAATTCTAAAAGGGACAAGGGCGTAATAGAGAAACCAACAACAGCTGTGCATCCAGTGACATTGAGTCCACGTAGGTAGACGATGTAATACGTTTGGACCAGATGCTTCCACCGACACATCACTAATTAAAATTCTAATAATTTTTGTTTACATATAAAATATACGTTCCTCAATTCAACAAACCTAGTCTAATAGTGACTTTACTACATAATTTGATGCTTAGATGTCTGCAACAGTAAGTATAACAGTAATAGCCAGAATAAAGAGGAGGTGTTAGACTTTTTTTTTTTTTTTTTTTTGGTCTTTTTTTAATTAAAAGAATGAATTGAATCTAAAATCATTTTATTTAGCCAAATATTTACCTATCCACAAAAACGCATAATTTAATTTAATGGAATTAAAAAAATCGTTTAATTTTATAAATCAAATGTAATTTTTTCCTTGAATTTACATTTTAATTCCTTTACATTTTTTACTTGAATTTACATTTTATCAATCAAATGTAATTTTTAATTCCTTTACACCCTAATTGTATTATATCTACCTTCCATCTGATATGTTCTTTAAATTTTTGTTAAATATCAATAAAAACCCAATATTTTTCTAAAAATTTTGATTGATAATTGGATTCTAGATTTTTTTTTCTTGAAATTATGGATTTTTTTTTCTCCACAATCTGAAATATGGAGTAAGGATTCCGACTTAGAAATATTTTTTTCTACCATAAAAAGTATTTTTAGTATGACATAAAGTTCGGAATTTCATAATACGCTTGTAACTATATTTTAAATTAAAAAAAAACTCATTTCAACATTTTTTTTCCCACATCATTCTTATAATTCTTTCTCATTTTTTAAACTTTATAAAACACTATAAAAGTGCTAAATGGATTCAAGTTGCATTGAGGCTAAAAAGATTGGTTCAAACCGGACGAAATATAAAGCTATATGTTCACAAGATTTGCCACAAATTGCTTACAATAATTTCCGATTTTAGTGAAGTCCAACATTATAAAACACTATAAAAGTGCTAAATGGATTCAAGTTGCATTGAGGCTAAAAAGATTGGTTCAAACCGGACGAAATATAAAGCTATATGTTCACAAGATTTGCCACAAATTGCTTACAATAATTTCCGACTTTAGTGAAGTCCAACATTAGTACCTTACAATCATTTCTGACTCTCTCTAGATAAACAAAACTTGTATGATTGTACTTAGCCTACAGTAAACTCGGAAGGGAATTTCATACGTCTAACAAATGCTCATGTCCAACTTTCAAAAGGGACGAAGACCTTCAAATTAAACATTTACACAACATCTTCGTAAGCAATGTTTCCAGCCTATCTCAATGAAGAGGACAAGGGGTTTAACTTTGAAGGTTCAAAAAGACCACAACAAAGAGGGAAGAAACAAACTTCATCATCCTCTAGACAACGACAAATGGATTAACAATAGATAAGTATTGTTTATGAATTTATCAAAATTAGTAATATTAAAAAACAAAATGGGGACAACAAAAAACGAAATCGAACAAAGGTAAAGGAGTTCAAGGTGGAAGTTGCACATCATGGAGGATGAAAAAACAGTTGTACATGATGTGGGAACTGAGAAGATAAATAATACAGTTCTAGCTTTCATCGTATGATCATTTGATCGGAGTGGAAACTGAGAAGAGAAATAATGCAGTTCTACCTTCCATTGTATAATTATTTGATTGGAGCATAGTTGAATGTTGTACTAACATACAAACGTGAAAAAACACAATATTAAGGTTTGAAATGAAATACTTTTACCAATGTATGTACTTTTATTGAAATATTTTAATTGGTATTTAATCTAGTAACTTAAAGTAATCACCAAATAAATGTAAAGGGGTAAATTAATGTAGTATTGTAGTATTGTATTAAGTGAATACTATTGTACTAATTGTCTTAATTGAGTATTAAGGTATAATGTGATGGCTAGATCCCATACTAAACGCTCCCCTGTCAAGAGATTCTGGGAACCAAACGCGGCCCCTGCAATGATTGCAAGTCGTGAACATCCACATTACGATTATATGATCATGTATACCCAATATAACTATCACCTTTCGTTTAAAACAATGCGTTAGTGATTCATTGGTATAGTTAGATCCTATATTTATTCCATGCTATAGCACCTTATTATGTCTGTTCTGTTATCGTGTATTGTATCTTCCTCCATGTTTCTCTTTATTCTGTGTTCTCTTATGTTACCGTGTATTGTAATTGTATTTCTGTAATTATATCTCTTCATATAGTATGTATTGTATTAGTATAGACTCATGAATGAACTGACTCTTGTGTGATTCCTTGTACTTGGAATAGTAAGTAGTATCTCCTAACTATACCTATTATAGTTACTAGTAATGTACGTGTATAACCGAAAGTATGCCTTTGCTACCCAAAGGTACTAAACTGACCGATGGAACTTTTATGTCTATATATATGTATACATGATATATAACTAATATTTAGACGACATTCGGATGAATAACCGATACCCTAAGGCCACATCCCAACGAGGAAAAGGAAATAAAGTGAGCTAGCTGTCCTAAATCCTTTAAACATTACTTATATAACTATACATATATGGGCATGCATTTGACAATATAAAAGTATAAAAGAAGTTTTGTAATACATTTGAAAAGTTTAATAACGAAGAAATGATGACTTGATGTAAGTTTATAAAACGATTTGAAAGTAGTTTGTTTGATAAGAACAATTTAAAGTATAAGAAATCCTTTGTTTGAAACACAATTGTAACAGAGTTTGAAAGGAAACATACAATATGTAAGATAGTTTGATAAAGAGTTTTAACATGTAAAACATTTAAGAAAGTCATTTGAAGTAATATGTTTGGTAAAACAGCTAAACGTGTAGTAAATCCCTTTGTATACTAGTTATTAATCACATGTGATTGATCGAATAACTAACATGGTTCAACCTGTATTCCCCCCCCCTAAAGCATTTAAAAACATTTCAAAGGTTAATTAAGGGGTATGAACTCACTTGATTGAAGTGGTTGTTTTGAAGTAGTCGAGAGAAGAATCGAGCAGAACTTCGACTAGAGAGAGTTGAAATCTATGGATTTTCGGGGATCTCGGGAGTGTAGGACTTCCTTCGGGACTCGAGTATGAAAAAACGGGGCTTTTGGAAGGATTATCGAGGTAATCACGCAGAGTAACGACACTTAGATGGAAAGAGATGAGCACAAAACCCGACACCTTTAAGCTTCTATTTATAGGGGCTGATTTGGGGTCTCACATCGTGAGTTTTGGATTGCTCACGCCGTGAGGCTTAGTCAGCCTTATCCTCTTCGACAAGTTAATGTGTCTGACACTTTGGAACCTATCAATCATGAACTCACGTCGTGAGCATGGTTCCCTCATGTCGTGAGGCTGAGTCAGCCTCGGGTTTTGTGTCCCGAACTTGTAAAACCCGTAATTTTTGCGTATGAGCTCTGATTTCAACGTTCTTTATATGCACGTGTAGGTGTGAAAAGGCTCTACAACTCTTGTTTAGACTCTGTCGGTTAATTTTGATTTATTTTTAATATTATATTTTTAACATCCCGGGATAGGAAAAGTCCGTTAAAAATCCATAGCTTCTTCATTCGGTGTCTTTCTTCGTCAGACTTTTTACCATTGCGCTAATATTGTTGAGACCTTCGATTCTCATTTAGGTTGTTTCAGCCAAAAGTCTCTCGATCTCTATTTCGAGTTTTTAGCTGTCTACTGCTATATCCGGATCTTGGAAAAATCATAACTTCCTCATACGAAGTTAGATTTGGACGTTCTTTTTACGTACGCTTACGGTTTAATGATGTCTACAACTTTCATTTAGATACCTAAGGCTAAAAATTAATGTATTGAAACTTCGTGTTTTACGTCTATGAATGTTGCCGGTTTTTGCTGCGAATCTTAGATTGGTCATAACTTCTTCGTTATAACTCGAATTATAGTGTTCGTTATATGTATGAAAACCTTGATATGATTCCTAATACTTTATGTAACCTAAATAAGATTTTAGGAAAGTTAATTTTTTACCGTAATTTGACTGGTGTTACATTACATTGTCTCGAAATATCGGGTTGTCACATCATCCCCCCGTTAGAAGGAATTTCGCACTGAGATTAGAGTTGAAGCATAATTGATAACTTTGCTACAGATAGAAGTTTCATTTGGTGCTCACATTTCCAGGTGAACTCAGGTCCTTGCTTGGCATTCTAGCAAACCTTTCACTATCGGGATATGGCTTTGCTCACTCCTCTCGTTTCACTTCACTGGTATGATAAATCTTCTTGGTTGGATGTGGGTTGAGTGTTTTTGTGGTCTGTGAAAATATTACACCTTGTACCCTACATGTAGTGTCTCCAGCTCTTCAGAGCAATTACCACTGCTCCTGACTCAAGATCATGTGTTATATAGTTAACTTCCTGTATCTTAAGCTGTCTTGAGGCATAGGCAGTGACCTTTCCTCTTGCAT